GCTGAGTTGTAGTGCAACGTAGCCTAATCCCCCAACAGAGCCTTCAAGCCAGCCTGCAAACAGCGCTCACTGCTGGCTCTCTCTGCGTGGTGGGAGCAAACCAACATCATAACAAAGGGTGTTTATGGAAAAATAGATGCTGGCGCAGCCGACCAGAAAGGGCTTAGCAGTGAACAGACCCCGCTCCCACCTTTATCCTTCACCGTTCACATTGAAATGCAAATATCAAGGCAGGGTTTCCACCCGCGTGCCACTCACAAATTGAAAAGCAGTTTTTATCTATGCAAATGCAAGCATGGTAATTGAAGTTAATCAATCAATGCTAGCTTTCACTAAAACCTTGAACATGATTGAATAAAGTAATTATCATTCAGGAGAAAATGATGAAGTTGTAGACAGCATGAACCTTATTAAAGGAGGATTTTGAGTCACAATGGCTTAATTTAGCCAGCAGCCCCCTCTGTGTCTTCCTCCTCTCTTCCCCTCCGTCTCGGCATCTTTCCCACTCCTCACTGCATCCCTCCTTTCATCGCTCTGTTACTCAATATTGTGTGAAGCAGAATAGCTCACTGTTAAGGATATTTTAAGACTGTGTGAAATATGCCCAAGTCGAACCACTTGTGACAAGGTAACGTCTGATGAAAGTATTTATTTCAAATTCACATCTGTATTACTCTTTTCCACTATTGTCCCATGGGAGGATATGACAACCCTGGCAGCCCTTGAGCTCCGGTGTTTCCCCTCTTTTGAACCATTACATTATAATCACAGTGCTTAGGAGCCAATATTCCAAAAAATAATTAACAGGCAAGCTTTTTAAAAACCTAGACTGCTGTTCCACAACCCTTCCGGCTGTTTCCAAGGTTTTTCCACAAACTTTAAAGAAAGAAATACTGCACAGGAGAAAAAAAAGTTACTTTATTTTCTAATCCTTGTCACCGAAAATGACATGAATATAAAATCTTACAAACATACTTAGAAGAAGGTAATACATTTCATTTTAGTGTAAAAAATCAAGAACATGTCATTTCTGACTACCATCTTTATTTGGTTTATTAAAAAAATCTGATAATTCCTTGAACAAGACTTATTTTGTTCCCGAAAATTCAAACATTTCCCATTGATGAAGAAAATAACATAACAGAAAGAGGGGAATTGAGACCTATTAATTTAATATTTATGTTTTATTTGTATTATCACTCAGCGGATTTCATTTTCCATTACATGTTATGCATTATACATATTCAATCTCATCTTATTTTTTTCTAACTTTCATAGTTTTATTATTTTAATCAGCTTAATTAATCTTACATCGCATTTTCTATGTTGTTGTTCATAGTACGTATGTTTGTCTTGTATGAGCTGTACAAGTAAGGCTATTTCCATTACAATTAATGTTATTATAAAACATTGTATGCCCCTCAGTAGTTGAGGCCTGTTTAATGGCGTCCCCTCAGAGCTTATCCCCACTGACCGAACCCGAACCTCCTCTGATTCACACTTGATGTATCTGTTCTTTGAGGGTAAAATGACACTTGTACATAATTGTTGAGGTTGGGGATATAAAAAAAAAAAAAAGATGTCAGTGTCAACCATTTTCAAATGAAGGCTCCCCCCCAGCTTCCACCTGTCAGACAAGACGGTGGTAATTGAGACTTCCAGTGTGCTGTGGCTGGCCACCTCACTGTGGCTCTCCTCATGGCAGGGCTAGTTAAAGGCCTCTTCGGTTTGTCACAGAGTTTAATATGCACCCTACATAATTATGCAGGATTCACAGTGCTATCAAACTGCAATTCAAATTAGTTCAGGATTAAAGGCACAGAACAGTACTGGTTCCTTAATTGCATTGTACTGTGCTGATCACATTCAAATACCCATTACTCATTCCCTCTGCGGAGCAATAAGTCAGAGGGATTAATACTGAGGCAGGTGACAGGGCCAAGCCATTAAAAGGCAGTTATGCAGAAAGCATGGCTGGTTTTATTCACGTTAATGAAATCAGCGAAATGAAACTGTAATAGATTTATCAAAGCTCAGATGGATTTGCAGTAAATCAGTTTGATTCAGGCAATCAAACTGGACAATGGAGATAGTTTTCAGCTACAGCAGTGGATATCAGGCAGCAGCATGTGAGAAGTGCTGATATTCTTCTTGTGAGGATTTGGTGAACACCCGGTGCCTAGGCCCTATTCCCAGAGCTGGGCCTGCTCATTTTTGTCAGCTAAATGGTGCCAGTGACTGATAAAACATACTGCCTTCCAGTTAAACACCATATTCTTCTACCCCCTTCTCTCATCCCAAACTCTGTCTCTCCCCCTCGCTCTCTTCTTCAATTTATGGACCGTGTGTTGCTGATTCTGGCTTGTTCTACAGTGCGCAAGCCCATGAATTAGAACCTAAATTCACTTACATCAAACGGATTAGTGTTGAAATCCATCCGTCTGAGCTTGTCTCATGGCACAGGGCTCCAAGTAGTCCAGCATAGGATGCTAGCTGGACAAAACTCTAGAAAGAATACAAAAATACAGCAACTCAAAAGAAAATTCTCAGATTAAACACCCTCTATTTATATAGGATGTATACAAGCATTTTATAATTGCTATATAAAACAACAATGTAGTTGCGTTTGGACGTTTACAATTATTTCTCAGCAATCCTTACTTTTTTTCATTATGACTAGGTTTTATTTATTGGTCCTTAGTTGTTAACAAATACATAAAAGAGAAAACGTAATTATTTTTTAAACCACATATAAAGTGTGATAGGCCATTTATTAAGAGTTTACACATAACACATATAATACTAAATAGGGAGTAGAGTGCTACAATAGTTCATCATATTAACTTAAAAATAGAATAGAATAGTTTATCAATAAGAAATCGAACTATTGACGAATCAGTAAGTGACATTTAGCATGCAGTAGTTTATACAGTCTGTCTGCAGTTGCATGAGAGAATTACACCAGCTGTTTTCCATGTCCTGCCATGCACTTTTTCAATGTAAAAATGGTTAAATGACCTAAGCTCAAAGACATTATTTTGAAATGTGTTCTTAATGAGTCGTCCACTGTACAGTATAAATTCCAATTACATCCAATTAACCCCAATCAGAAGCACCTCATCTCTAGCCTTTTTTTTTATTTAATGGTTCGCTGCGGCTCCAACCATTGATTAGGCTGAATGAGCAGCACTACTAAATGACCACCTTGCTGGAGATGGGAGCTGTTAGCCTTAATAGAGACAGCCTGGCCATTACACCTCTGTGTGCACAGGCCCCCTCTTTTAACAGGCTAGATCAACTTTTATATTGGGGTCTGACGGGCCTCTATCCAGGTTGATTTTGACTTTAGCCCATTTGCTTCCAGGGAAAATGTTAAGTAGAAACCTCCCATCCATGAACACTAGCCTATTATTTTCTAATTACGATGCATTTAGGTAGTAGGCATGCACGATTATACACAACGCCATTTGAACGGGTATACAGGGGAGGCGTGCTTGAAGCAGTTTTGAAGCCAAATGTTATTGTGTGAATATCCTTGTGCCTTACTCACTGTTTAGAAATATACTAATTGGTGATAACTGGAAATCGGATAGAAATTAGATTTGAGATTAGTGCAAAAGTATTCTTATAACATTTTGATGATTTACTATCATTCTTTCCAAAGACAATTTGAGGCTGTATGTGATCACAGCAGCTTACTTTAGTTCTCGTTGCTTTGGTCAGGATAAAGACAAGACTCGGCTCAACTGCAAGAGAGAGACAGTGAAGATTAGAAATAAAAGCAGAAATCCATTCAACATGAAGTATTCTCGAGTGTTAAAACTGGCAGCAGACGTTCGGATAAGCCCTCCCACATACTCAGTCTTGAGAATGTCCATGCTTGTGTTCTTTTGAGGAGTTTGCATTGCATAATACCCACGTGGCCAGACACAACAATCTGTAGATTAAGCCTAACAAAAGTATGCATTAGAACTCCCTGGCTTAAACAGTTTCATAAGTGCATTCAAAATACAATTCCCGCATAATTTGAGCTTTCTAAAAACAAAAAAACGGAGCTCGTTGCTTAATGAAAGCGCCCAGAGTCGAAATTAGAAGTGGATTAACCAGAGGAGAACTAGAGATGCACAATAAGTCTTTGAAACAGCCTTCATATACAATTGTCACAGCACAGCCCAACATATGAAGCCCTCACTTCGACAGAGTGAATAAGAAAATAATTGCTTTATTTATAGATGGTGTGAAATTAAGCACACTTAAAAGCCTGGGACAGTATGGTTTAATCAACCCTCTTGATTCATGCACACAATTCACACAGCAACTGAAAGCGGGGGGGGTAATAAATACATTCCCTTATTACTCTATAAATGCAAGTGGCCAAGCAGACAAAACCCAAGTAATAAATTAATAGTAATAAAAACACCAACTGCACGGACAGATAGAGAAATTAAAAGCCAGCATCAAATACAACACGCCATTCAGCTTAATAAAATGCAAGAATAACATTTGGAGCCAATCACGTGCACCTAGAATATTTAAATACATTTAATGTTGATTTGTATCTCGTGTGGCATTGACTGAATTAATATAATAAATATCAAGCATTTAGAATCCTCTTTTCGGTGGGATGATGTACAGATTTTGATGGCAGTGAGTAAAGAATGCAATCATTTTCCAATCAAGTCTTGAAGTGTAATTGTATTAAAGGGCCAGTTCACCAAAAATAAAAACAAATGTTTTCTTGCTTCTCCTCTAGGGTTTAAATACAGACAGATTTTGTTTTGACATATCTGCTTCTGAAACCTCCATAATTACCCGATCACTATGAAATATATTTAGTTTGTGCTCATATTGAAAACTACTTTTTAATACATAAATAGTTCCAATTAAATCATTTGAATTGTGGTGGCAGCAACTCAGCAGATATCCCAAACCCTGGCAAATAAAACCAATGGCAATTACTACATTACATTACATTTAACTGACACTGTTGTCCAAAGCGTCTTACAATAAGTGCAAAAACCATAAAGATTCAAACACCGAACAACAAGGAAAGTGCAGATATATTCACTTCAAGCAAGATCATACCATAGTAAGTGCTGGTGAATTAGTAACAAGGCCTACGTTAACTAAAAAGGTGCTTACTACCAGGAATAAATCTGACTCAATGAAACCGAAAAACAATATTTTTAAACAGTTAGAAAACCTGACCTATTGTGCATTCTTACATTGAGTTGATCTTGGCAATTTCTGTTTCGGCATGTAATTCATATCAAACCGCTACATTAAAATTACTTTTTTATTGTAATTATTAATATTCTACTGTAATGGACAAATATATTCTAAGTTTGAAACATGTCTGAAACATCCAGTGAGTCATTGTGATATAAGCGTGATTTATTCTAAAAAGAGAAATGGACGTGTTGATGAGGTTTCAATTCATCACTTTCTCAACCAGGTAAAGCTCCTCCACTTCCAATTATACAGCATCGGTATGATACTTTGTAACACTGGTGAACATTCAGTAAGATTCATCATTGAAAATCACAAACCAAAACTCCCCTAATTACTTAGAATTCGCCAGAATGTGTCATCAAAATGTCAGAAGCCTCCACACTTTAAACAAGTCCCGCTAAGGCTTTAGACATCTTACACAAGAGGAATCCACTTACGATGACAGCCTATTGCTCATGAAACACTGTGTAGGGAAAGTAGAGCACACAGTGTCTCTTCATAATTATTCCACTCAGTAAGGGAGATGCCTATAGCATTATATATTCAGCTGGAAGATATTTTTTGAGTTTGAGTCCATCTCAGGTTTGACGGTGGCTTGAGATTCACATGACCTCCCGCTTAAAAAAGCAAGGGCCTTATCTCCGGAGGTTCAATTACCATTCGCTTTTTGCTTGATCTTGTTTGTTTAACTTGACACAGTGAAGAAAGGCCTGACATTGACCAGAATCCGCTGCATTAATGTGTTTCATGTTCTGCATTCATCATTGTCACCGAGCCCGAGACGACTGCCGGTGTCACAGGAGGACAGGAAGAGTGAGCGTTTATGTGTGTGCGGTAAAGAGAGGCGTCGTAAGAAGACATTTAGTGATGCAGATGTGTTAAGAATTCTTCATTTTTTAACTTAATTATTATATCAACAACAATTTATTTAGATTATGTGTTGTCATCATGTTGCCTTTCCATTCACTGTGTTTTCAATCTCAGCTCTTATATTGTAGGAGTTAACACAAAAGATCATATATATGGGTAAGTTCCAAGTTAAAGCCAGCAGACAAAAAAATAAATCAATTTTGTGTCATCTTGAAATAATTGGACTATGTATGTTGCACTTCCTGTCTTGAATTGATAACTTAGGATCTTCCTGACATTATTTTCAATTATAAACTACTTTAAGATCAATTTAAACAATCCAACATGCCCAATAATACAATCCAAATACTGTTTTACAATGGTATCTCCTAACACATATACAAAACTATTCAAAAATTATTATTATATAAGATGATTTAATATTTTTTCTGGAAGCTGTACAACATGTGTGTCTGTGCTTGTAAATAGTGGATTAAAGAAACTCAGGCGCTGCACAACTCCAGCTCCCTGGTTCAGGGCTCCATGTGACAGGTGAAAACTTCTTAATGTGATTCTCAAGGTATCCTTTATATTAGGGTCCGCTACTACAGAGCATGGACAGCTAATTCCGGGTTTAGTTCACGGTATGTCTCATACCTACTACAGAGCATGGACAGCTAATTCCGGGTTTAGTTCACGGTATGTCTCATACCTGCTTCTTACTTGCTCCTATTGAATGTAATTCCACATTCACTTGAGGAAGATAGCCTCATCCTTATCTTGCGTTTTAACTGAAAGCATAAAGCATGCATTGGTGTGCATCACCTTTGAATTCATCTTTTAGAGACAATGCATGTTAATTAATATATTATTAATATTCATGTTCTAGTTGTAATATTATGTATGTGCTTATGTTAACTAGATGTTGGTGTAATAGAGCATGTTTTCACAGCCAACATAGTGTATATGTGTACATTTAAGTAAAACAATAAAATAAAGAAATATAAAGCCTTTTTTTCATTGATTTCAGGAATCATACTTGGAATCATATACATGTTGTTTTCTTTTTACATACACCTGCAAACACTTTTTGGCCACTTTGGGGCATTGGAAACAAGTTTCAAGTTTATATAGTTCAATTATTCTTTGACAGACTTTCATACTATTTAAACATGAAACATTTGATCTGTCACTGTGTATGTTTTCTTGATAATGACATTGAATCCATTAGTCTTTGTATTTACACTTGTTAGTATCTCAATTATGCCGTATTGTGATAAGATCTCAATATGCAAATTATGATGTGATGGTCTCTAAAGACACCTTAAAAAGTCTCTTATACTCACCTCCACAATATGCTTCAATAACATCAGTGCAGTAAAGGTAACACTGATTTACGGTGTGCCTATCGCATTGCACAAGTACAAAATTATACTTGGTCTGTATGTTCTGATTTTCATTCAAGTCTGTTAAAACCTTGAACATTGTTTTGCTCTGATTTAAGCCAATGTCTTTCTTACTGCAGAGCTTTAATGTATTTACAAGTACTGCTGACTGCCTTTTCACATAAACCCTGAAAACACAACTAATCGATTGTTGTCTGACGACCTCGAATGATCTAACTAACTCAATAGTTGAAAACTCCAAAGACTAAAAGTGAAACTGAGGTGAGAGGCTGCCTGGTGGAGCACATCTCTCAGAGCAGGTTAAATGCAGAGTAATATATCAGAAATTATGAAAATATCTTCTAAATGTTTCTCTTCAGTGTTTGCTGTTGCAGAAAGTGTTTAACTTAGAAATTGTGTAGACAGAAACTCCCACACAAACTCCAACAGCAAACCCACAGCTCAATTAGTGGAGCAGCAGGTTCACTTACAGAGACCTGACACTAGCTGAATGCTGTTTACAGGTAATCCATACTCCTCCTTTCAAACTGAGGTGAACTGGCTTTAACTAACGACAGGACCAACATATAGTCCTATTTGTTATACCCCAGCGGCTCGGGAACACCACTGATTGAATGTTACCACTGATAGCTGTTAAGGAACACACTTACTCATACAGTGCAGCACATTTTAATGGCATAGTGTACATTTAATGAAAACTTTTTGTCACTGTCAAAGTAGATTTGTACTATTCTTTCTCTGTATTTGAATGAATTTCTCTGGGTTTATATAAACTTGGAGGTGAAGAACCTTTACATTTCTTGCTGAAATGTGAATAGCTGTTGAATATGTCTCGGAGTAAGCACTGTATTATTTCCATAAGATTTGGCAATAATCAGAGAGTTCACAGGGAAAACCACATGGATGTGCTGTTCCAATCAACATCTGTTTCTGATCCTGCACATCACACTAGAAGAGTCTGAGTGTCATGGTTACCGAGCTAAAAGAGGATCATCGGCACAGAGCTTGTATGAAAGGAAAGAAATCTAAAACCTCTTCACTTCTTACTTGCACACCAGAGAAACAACACCTACAAACACAACACCCAGGGTTTATAAAACAGGTGATTTAAAAAAATAAAATGTGTAGAGCCTTTTATAGCAGTCAGAAGAGCAAAGTACAGTACAAGTAAACGACCCCAAGAGAACATTATAGATCAGGCTGCGTTTGTTAAATATGGGATGGTTAGTGTAGATGGTAAAGATGTCCATGTTTACAACGTATTGAGCATTAGTGGACTTAAGACTGTTTTATGAATACAGGTTTGACCATGCAAGGGTTAAAAATACTGTACATGGTTGTTATAAAACTTTATCACAAGTCATTGCTGTATACTCAATTGGTCAATTGTACCATTCTGCTGTGTTTTATTTCTTTATAGTACTGTAGAGTGCTTATATCAATATTTTGTGATTGTGTTTCTTTAGTAAGTAGCTGTGTAATAAGGGGGATAATGTTCACACATGATGACCAGACTGCTTTTCAATGTCACTTATCGTACTTAATAAAAACAGTTTTAAATCATCTTGAACCATCAGAAAAATCAGATTAAAAAAAATTAGTAAAGAAATGTGTGAAACTATCAGAGAAATATCATTGGCAATGCAAAGTCAAAGTTGTTTATCCCAGAGTAGTTTCCTTGTCGTAAAGGTGCTCTGAGGAATGCAATCAGGTCCACGTCTGGGCTGCACGTCAGATGACTTATCAAGGAGAGAATGACAGGAAGGGCAAGGTTTCAACTAAGCTCAGCAGAATCAAACTGTATCAAAAGTAGTGCTCGGTAGTGTGCTAATAATACACCAATACAAACAAAAGTCCTGACAGGAATAGCAGGATCAAAACAATGCCTATTTAGTGCTCACGCAGGCAGTGTGAATGGCTTTTGTGTGGTGCTTATTATTGCAATCTCAGTGTAGCAACGGTACAGAGCAAATCTCAGTAATTAACCTATGGTAATGACAAAAGCCAATTTATGGCTCTTAAAGATCAAATGTATCTGGGTTAATGTGAGGTCAATCTAATGCATGTGCGGGAATAGCAGCGCTGGAATTGAAGTAGCTGGTTGTACTGAGATTACTGCCGGTGTGAATGGTGCTGTCAAAAAGATCCATTCTAAATAGACAGTAATGCACAAGCTGGTGTCAGGCTTAATTTGACACACTAACACATTGTGAACACATTAGTAAGTTCAATCATTGGTCCTAATGAAATACGGTGAACCAAACAGATTTTTCTAAACAGCATGTTTGTTTTGAATATGAAACTTCACTTGTCTGCTCACTTTCTCTCTCATGCCTCGCCATGAGCTTCACAATTCAAGGAAAAGCCTCCTCAGGAAGCACAGCACTGTCTACCACAAAGGCTGTGAATGCTGTACAAACTCTAATGTCTCATCAGCACAGGTCCTGTCGTAGTCAGACGGTACAAGGATCCCTAATATAATCAAAACATAATCTGATGCCAGTGTCAAAAGGTCACATTGTTCTTGTTTCGTTCACACAAACTACGTCTACAGCAGACGATAGTTTCACCTGCCTTAGCGAGACATCTCCTGAACACTGTTAAGTGATCGTGAATTTATACAAGACTTCAAACCAATGTCTTTTAAAATGTTCTCTCACAGCACTGATTTGGATTTCTATACAGTAGTTTCCCATCAAGATCTGAATCTTATGTAAGATGATTGTGGTCACCCAGAGCTCTGCATGGTGAGCCACTCTCCTAAATGAGAGAAGTACAGTACTGTGTGCAGCTCTACATCACCATCGGTGTTTCAGTTCTCCTGATAAGGACTTTGAGGTGATGGCTTCAGAAGTTCAGAACTCTCTCCCTGGATTCATTTTGTACTAATGCAATGTTCATGTTGCTTTGTTTCCTTTTTAAATTGTGAAACATATTCTGACATCTGCTCCAGAAAGCTGCTTTATAAATGAACTGGCTTTTTTTGTGTTATATGATCCCTCCTGGCCACTTCATATTGCTCTGCCTGTAGGTAGAGGCCAGATGTTGGGCCACCTGGACCCAACGACAGGCAAAACAGGCAATAGTTATTCAGCCAGACTCCAAACACAGTCTACTGACAGATCATGGTTCCTGGGGAGTTATGCTGCATTTAAATAGCACCTTTTGATATTAGATCAATACGACGGATTAACAGTCAAGTCACTCATGGGCAGATGCTGTGGGGAGACAGCATGCTTTGACTGTGATACATTATGTGCCAGAACTAAACAAAGAAGTTATTTCAATTCCAATGGTTTTGTTACTTTTTTCACAAAAGGTCAAGCGCTGTCAAAAATATCAGCATATTGACCTTTTTAAACATTCCAGAAACATTGGAATCATGGATTATGCTTTCTTCCCCTCTTTCTCGCTAAAAAAGGGTTAAAACTCATTCACGCCAAAGTCGCAGGGGGCTGCAACTCTCTGTGCTGTCATTTGCAGGTCATTGTGCAGTTCATTTGAAGTCTAACATGGCATGGACTGTCCTGGCGATATTTGTGTATTATCAGGAGGACAGCGGTATCATGCAGGATGACAGCAGGCTCTGCTACTACTTAAGTAGATCTGTGCACTTCTTACACACCGTCCAACACCAAACATGTGTCATTGTCATGGACTGTATAAAATAAGTTGGCGTAGTCCCTGTGACACCACCTTTTTGTGAGTCGACATAGAATTCGAAACCTGCATGGATTCAGCTTTATTACTTTACGGACCCTAAGGATTTAAATGAGGGCTATTTTAATACAGGAAAGTTGAAGTATCTAAAGAAAATGTAATATGGTTTACAGATATCTGAATCCCAATGTAAGTTTACGAGCAAAAAGTATATTCGGCGTAAAGTTGGATGTTGTAAATCCATGATTTGGGCACTATGTCAAATTGGCTAACCAACAGTTGCCTCCTTAGACAGCTTTTGGTAAATCCGAACGCTGTACAAGGTTGTAGTATTGACTTGTCAATCACAATTTGATTCATTCCCTAAATCATACCCTGCTTTATCTTCTATTTGGAACCACCATTTAAAAAATGTCCATCATGCTCTATTGAAGAAGACTTGAAACTAGAGAATAAGATTATACAATTATATTTTACTGAGGTTTTAAATCAAGTGAGATGTAGGGTCATTTTCTTATAGACTTCTATACAATCGGTCTTGTTTTTTAAAGTGCAGTCGCCCCCTGTAGGTCATTGAAAAGAATGCAGGAACATACAAAACTGCTGCTATGGTCTATTTACTTATTATGAGATAGAAAAACATGCATGCACACCACAAAAATGTAAATGTGTTAATAAGAGTGATAAAATGTTACTATTCTCCTGCACTGTGGTTCCTGGATTCACTTGATTCCAACCCATCAAAATGTGCGGTTGTGTTTCGCACACACTGACACTGTATGGTCACCAGTTCATTGTCACATTGTAGTTCCTGCAGACTGACAGAGTGTCCTTGGTGTTAAGCTTTATGACTAGAGGACAAAAAACACTCCAGGGTCCTGAGACATAACCTCTCCTGTCTAAAGTCAGCAATGACAGACCAGTCGGATAACATGTGGACCACTCGGTATGAAGATACACACATCCTGCAGATTTATGCAACGTGTGTGTGTGTGTATATGTCTGCATGCAAACACTCACACCCCTGAACTAAGTTGTCTATTCCCTCTACTGTATATCACTGCTACTGCGGGAAAATAAATGAGCTCCAGCTGCCGCTTCTTAACAATCCACCTTTTCTATAGCGTAGTGACATATAAGGCATTAAATATTAATACGATATTGTGTATCGATTGAAAAATTACCTGCCAATGTAATGGGCTGGTTGATATTTCTGAATAAAAAAATGACAAACTCATTATCAAAGGGCATTTTTTAAACATTTATGACAGCAGAGTAGCTGTGGAGCAGAGGGCCTCACATGGGCGATAAAAATCATGCAGATGAAGACAATACACATTTATAATCGTTCAAAACGAAAGTCATGCATGATAAACACTGTCCCTTGAGCTGTGTTAACCTTAGAAGACCTGACACAATGGATTCAAAAGTACAATTGATTATTTTGATGGGTTAAAAGTTCAATCAACACTTTTCCTGAATGCTTACATGCAATACAGCTTCTATTAAAGAAAGACAGACAAATGTGTATGTACTGTAAATGATGACAGTTAACAAAGGGAAGATGTTTGATCGGATGTGTTTTGGATGTGAAGGCTAAAAGATTGGCCTGGAAATATTTAGTAGAAAAAAAAGTTATTCATTCTTTAATTCCGAGTCACAGTGAGCGACACTGATGCCTCCTTTGTCTCGGCTGACTCATGGTTTGGGAATGGAAATGTTGTATGGTGTGGAAAGATTTCACCACAAAACAGAAAACCACAAAACGTCAGGCTGCATGAACCGAACAAAGAGACTCTTTAAAAAATGCCAGTCCAGTCAGTGGAGACTCAAGTAAAGCCAAGCTGAGTACAGTGGAGTAGAGATCTGCTGCTAGACATGCAGAGACTCTGGTGTGACTGTGAGAAGCCATGGAGACCCTTCTCCCTCAAGGGGAGGACTGGGGGAGACACTGGCTGTCCACTGTGGAGGCCAGTAGGTCTTCTGAGGTGTCACCTCCACACAATGTGACAAACCCCTCTGGTATGACCCTTCTTCACACTCCCCCATCCCCTTCCTTCCATGTTCTTAGACAAATGAGTGAAGACCCCGGCCCGGGCACTACCACAGTACCACAGGCAAGGACGGACACCGCGTGGACTCCGCCAGTCACGGCTTCTCGCTCCATCACTTCACACTTAAATCCCCCATGCTCTCCTTCGTCCCCTTCCCTTCTCTTTTTTTCTCATGCTTCAGGCTCTCTCTGCTCATTTTGTGACTACAGGACTTTTACCAGGGTCTCGCCCAGACATACGCCACATGTCACCCGCTGTCCGCGGCCACACTGCCTGAAGCCAGATGTAGTCTGAGGCTTGAAGTGGAGAACCACTGTGACACATCCCCAACAGCCATTGCTCGGTTTCATTCTCTATCTCTTACAGTAATGGAAGAAGCTCTCAGATCCTTTCCTTGAATGAAAGTATCAACTAAACAATAAAAAAATACTCTCAGTAAAAGTCATGCATTCAAAGACTAAACACATTATATTGGCTAAATATATTTACAATACCTAAAATAAAAGTAGGTGCATGGTTATGTTACTATTTAAATGTTAACAACACAACAATAAATAAGCATTTTCTGTTCTGGCTGGTTGATTAGTTGCTAGTTGTATTTATTTTATATAAAGTTATACAGTAGCCAGTAATGATGGGAACCACTGCTATATTCTATAACAATGCCCTCTAGTTTGTAAGATTATCATCTATTTCCCTAAATTCTAAACTGTAGTAATTTGTTGTTTAAATGTTGTGGAGAAAAAAGTACATTCCCCTTTTTAAATGTAGTGGAAAATATGTATTAAGTAGCATCAAATGGATTTTTTTAAAATAAAGAACATACCTTTTCATTAAGTGCACTAAAAGCTAGAGTGCTTGGTTGATTCACACCACTAATATCTTAGCCAATTTTTGCACATTAAATGATTTAAGTGGATTGTTTCAGCTGATTTCTTCTCGATTTCCTTCCCATAGCGTATAGAAGGCAGAGCTAATATTGGGGAATGCAAAGAAAAAAAAAATCCTCATGGACTAATCTTGTGCTGAGTACAGCCATGATAATGATGATGGATTAGAAATACAGAAGTGTATTGGGATTACAGTGCTATTAACTGGCCAGGGGAGGAGGATAAGGAGGCAGACCGGTATCAAGCTAATCAATCAAATAATCGGGACAAGCCCTTGTCTACTAGAAACAATTAGACCACTTCTCCACAATCAATAGTCCTGCATTCTGTTTAGATACTGGTCACTCATTCAATAAAGCCTCCATGGCTTTTGATAAGCCTGCCAGTCGGCAAGGGCCATTTGAGTCTCCAAGTGGGAACAAAATACATCAAACTGGCTCCAGGAAGACCTCATAAAAATTGCAAATCGAAAACAATATAATTTCATGTGGCAAAGGTTATTTTTCCACTTGTTCATTATCAAATGTCTCATGTGAAAGCATTGCTATAAAGGAGAAAAATCTATTTTGTCTTGAGTGTTTGGGGAAAACAATGGGGACATGTATTACGTCTAGAGGAAAGCAAAAATAACGATGGAATCAAAGGGGTTCATAAAGTTGCTCTGAGAAATAGTCCTGGTAGTGTAGGTGTCTCCTGTTTCCAGCACAGCTCCCATACATAATTAAAGCAGGAATTTGTATCTGTCTGCACTCTGTGGCCTCCTGATGAATTAATATCTGGTGGAAGTCCTACACAGCCATCAGATTAGCTCATTTATTTCTGTCAGCTGCTTGCTCTATCAGCTATTTGTATATCAGAGAGGGTGGGTGAGTGGATAGGGGGGATGTTGAGATTCTTGGACATATATTTATTATCATAAATGGCTGTTATGAATTAGGTGTTATTCAAACGTCCAGGCTATAGTGCCGCAAGTGTAAGTGCACAGTGATGACTCGTTTTCTTTCCCTGGGAGAAATGTTATGTTGACATTGTTGTGCTAGTTATACCTTATAGCGTCACAGCTGTTCCTTACAAACACTGTACCTTAAGTTTGACTGCAGACACAGTCCTAAGGATTTTTAATTCGGTATAATTTTCAGATTTCATTAAGATCTGCCAAAAAGAAACCCCTGCTTGACAAAATAGAGGTCATGCTCAGGAAAGTTTGTGTGAAAATCTGAGTGATAATCACATTTTACAGCATATATCCTGGCTGAAGTAGTTGTCTGGTTGTTGACTTGAGTCAGGATGAAGTTGATGTCCTCCTCCATGGGGATGGCTTGCTGTGTGTGGGTGTGTTTGGGCATCCTTTCCCGGTAAGAAGACTGAATGACATGACAGGATGTTGTCGGGCTGGAGGTGTGTGTGTGTGTTATGTGCAAGGGAGGAAGCAGGGGTAGGGAGGGAACAAACAAGAAGACTGCATTAACCTTTGGTCTGCTAGGGAGGGGAGGGCACGAGCGGGCCGGGCTGGTTGAAGGGACACCCCATAATCAGGCTCCTGTCAGCGCTGTTTCCAGGAGATTAATTCAGCTGGTTTCAATTCCAGCCGCTGCTCCCCTTGCCTCAACCCAGGGTGCACATATTGTCCTGTTTAAAACACATGCACGTGGCACTGACTCAATTTAACACAGGCATAGCTTAGGGGGGAGGCTGGGTCACAGGAGTAGCCTTCCTTGCTTGCAAACACAAATAACATGCATCAACAAGAAAGCAGAAATCCCAGTACTGGCTCAGGCAGAAGGAAATTCAATCAGAATGGAGTTGCAAGCTCCACGAGAGGAAATAATGTTTGATCAGGCTGGACAACCAAATTACACACAGGGGATGTAAATCTTCTCTTACAGTTACTGTAACAACATGATTACATGACGCCATGACACTCTGCTCGGCTGTGGTGCTCCTTTCTGCTAAGCACCATGCTCTGAGCCACCCGTACCAACAGAGCTGCCAGACATGTTGTGGCCAGAGGCTGAGGAGACTATCCTGGCACAGGCTAATGAACTGATGAGACGACAGTGCTAAGGAGCAGGCGATACAGGAGGACAGTGACAGAGATGTAGGGGCCCACCGTTACTTACCTGTAATAGCCCAGGATGACGATGTGCACCCCAGCACTGGGCTGACAGATGTCGGGGTTCTTCTGATCATCCATTTTCTGCAGCGCGTCTGTAAAAGGTCCCGTGGCATTGATAACACATTTGGCTCTGACATCAAATTCCTGCCCTATGAAAGAAAACAGCATCAATCACCAGGGGCTATTCATCTGTGGCTGGTGACAAGCCGGATTATTAATTTATCAGCGAACGCCCCCCTCTCTCCGTAATAGAGTGGCTCGAGTGTGTCCATGGGAGACTTCCCAGGATTGTAATTAATAGGAAACAGACATACCTAATTTCCCTCTTGCCTCTTTGTGTCACAGAGCTGCTCAGTGGCAGTGACTGAGGGAGCCTTTTGAAATAGTGGAAGGGAAATGTTTGTTAATGTGATGCTTGATGTTGACGAGCTACAGTATATAATGGGACGCATATCAAGAGATACCATGAGGATGGCAAATGATTTGTTTTGACAACAAGATGAATGACGGACTACCCTTTTTAATTTGACATGCGATGCTGCTACTGCTAAGAGAGGGGAAGATGAGAAGAGGAATGACGAGGTTGCTAAGCCAGAAATTCATATTTTTGCAAGGGGAAAAAAAAAGACAAAGAAAAAAAAGAACCGATGACAAAAGTGTTTCTATTATCCTTTCAGTCCAAGCCCTCCCTATGTGAGACCTATGTGTTTCACATTATTAAAGTGAGACATCTCCTCCGAGAGCACACTTCCATCTTTTAAAACATCAGGGGGTGGTCATGTGTTGAGATCCTCAAATCTTGGTTATTCATGAAATGTTTCAGAATACCATCTTTTACCCTTAACTGCTTTATTCTTCCAAAGCCAGCCTTATGCATGACATTTAAAAGATAAGTAAGGCCATTTGGAGTACGCTAATTCCGTCTTATGTTCCTCTCTACAAGATCTGAAGCAGCCCTCTGCGCCATAAAACGCTTATAAAATATTAAAAGCCCCTGCATTAGATGTGCAATGACTATGTGCAAACTAGCACTGAGTAAGAAGTGCTGGGAGGGCCCCTGTTGTGAGGGCTAGAGAGAGGGGGAATAAAGCAAGGCAGGAAGGAAGGAAGCAGCTTTTGTTGGATTTACCTGTGATCCCATCCCTGCAGCGCGCTCCGCAGACCCTCTCCTTCCCCGTCTGAGGGTCTGCCCTCTCCAGTAGGTGCACCACTTCAGTGTAATTGGCTATGGCAGCCCCATACCTGGCAGCAGTGAGGGCGATGGCGAGGTTCATTCGAGCATCGTTGTGTTGTCCTGCAGCGGGGGGACAGGACCAGAGCAGGGGGATGTGAGTCACCTCGAGCCTGTGACTGGTGGTATGGAAGTGTGTCGGAACCGATATGTCACATCTGTCCCTGTCACTTTGCATCAGCGCGATGGCTGCTCTGGCCACACAAGGAGCACACTTAAAGCCACAGTGGCCCTATGGCCTGAGTGTGGGCCCCCCGACCGCCCCTCCCCTCTCCTGCACCGGGAAGGGGAACTGCTCCTTGGGAAAAGACCAGGAATGCAGGGATAAAGAGTAGACGCATCAAAGCCTTAAAATATACCGAGGTAGGCGAACCTGTTGTTTGACAGTGTGTATTTAAGCGTTGTGTGTAACACTTGATAACATGTTATTATGTATTTAAAGGACGCTCAGTCAATATTAATATATTTAAAAGGAGATTGTATGGGCTTACACCTACACAAAAAATGTTTGTACACATTATACAAAGTTAAATTAGAATAAAAACAAACACTAAACATCCTACATTAAAAAAACACATGTAATGATCACTGGAAACATTCCCTTACTCTGCTGATGATCACATTTTTCAATATGTTAATATGACGGTAAATACATCTCGACAGCAGCTGATCTGCTTTTCCAGCTGAAGATAGTTCGAAATAATTGTTTTAATGAAATCTAATATCAAGATTTATGGATTAATCCCTCTTCAGCTCTAAAATACGAGAGATCTATATTCAGAGTCACAAGGTCACAAGTTTTGTAATTTAAATGAAAGGGTCTAAAAGGTGACAAATGAACAAAGCCCGGTTTCATTAGGAAGTGATTCTTATGTACATCTTTGAAGATTTATTGCTGGACAATCCCTTGGTTCAAAAGTAAAGGGAGAATAGAGATGATTAATCACTTTTAATGTTGGTGTCTCGGGTGACTTTCTTTCTATTTGTTATTGCCAGGGAAGTTCAAGTCCTCATTGTTGGCCAGAGAAAATGTTGCTACTTCGCAGGAATGAGCAGGGTCCTTTGTGCCCTGATTTATTTTACGTTTGAGCGACTTGAGGCTAGCTAGCTGGTGGGCTCGGCTTAATGCTACAGCATGCTGGAAGCCATTCCCCCACCACGGGAAATAAATAAATAAATTGAAAGCAAAAAGTAAAAAAAACAAGAAAACAACAGATTTAAAGGCCACATTTTAAAATGAATTACATACAAGAGTATGCACCCTGCCATGATGTATTAGGAATACCATGGAATCCACTTCTTCATCTCTGTAGGGTGAATGTGACCATATTAGGTGCTTAGCAAACTTATGCCACCGGTGGTGTGTGTGCACACACACACACACACACACACACACACACACACACACACACACACACACACACACACACACACACACACACACGCACGGAGGGGCTCGGCACCAGTAGGCAGTGTCTGATCCTCGGTGATTGCTGAGCCTCCTAACGACCTTTGACCCCGTGATTCACAGCTCTCTGTAGCAAGCCTGTCACAGATTGGCACTGGGCAAATAACAGGAGCATTAATACTACATTAAATGTCAGGAATTCAAGGATTAGTCAGATCGCAGTGGCAGGATTTATGAATGAACAGCATACGACAGCTATAATAACCTGACACGCTGATGAAGATAACAATAATGATGATGATAATTATCATCAGCAATTAAAAGCCAAAATGGTCGAATGAGCTAAATGAGCATCAAAGCTCCCTGGAAGCACAGGAGCCCCCCCCCTTCCTCCTCCTCCTCCTCCGCTCCGCTCCCCTCCTCCTTCCCATCCCACCCCTACCCCTACCTCTGCGCGGCTCACACTCGTTCAAAACCCTCCTGGAGGTACAAAACTCAGTGGAGTGAGAGGAACTCTGCGGCTGGACAAAAAGCTGCAAAATGACAGGGACAATAATGACAATGAATGTCATGTCTCCCAGTCATAGAGCCAGAGATGCTTGGCTGGGCTGACTTGTCCAATTAAATTGTTACAGGTACAGTGGGAGATGAAGTTATTATCCCAGATGCTTTGTCAATTACTTCTCTAGCACAAAGAAGAAGGGCACAGCTGAATGGTATAGTATATAAACACAAGACAAATGCAATATTTCCTAAAAGTTTAGAATGATGTCCCAATAATATACACATATATTACTTTTTTATTACGTATTTTTTCTTTGTGTGAATATGTTTTAGTTTCGCAGTCTGTGTGATTTATGTGTATGCAGTCTGACATTCTGGTAGTCATTTTATACCAAACCTAATGTTTGCAAAGACTATGTTTTCTAAGGATAACGGATGTCTACATGTTGAAACTATCTGACCATGATGGCTTGAAAAATCCTGAGGAGATGAACCCAAGCAGTCAAAGCCCGCTCCCCAGTAAAGAAGGTCAGGACAGAAAATGTCACTGCCATAATGTACCCAGTTGTGTATGGGAGAAGGGGTGGAAAAGAAAGCTTGAGGAGAAATTAAATACATATAATCGGTCCCATGTTTTAAAATGTTTTCATCCTTTGTCCCTTCTGCACCTATTATAATTTAAAAAATGTTAATATTATTATTATTATTATTATTATTATTATTATATAACTGCTTATAGATTTTTGCTTTTCTAGATTGAGCTGCTTTCTAGAAGTACAAAAGAAAACTGCCATTATCAAACAAATATAAATAGCTCAAGTAAAATACCCCCCTCTCCTACTTACTTCTGCTAAATGAACAAGGTTGACAGATCACTGCTCAGATAGTGGCCGTATTCCCTCAGAAGTATGTTGCCTTTTTGCAGTACATGGGAATCCACATATCCTCAAATGCTAAATGAAGTCTGACAGATAGCCTAGAGAAACAAAGTTGGGAGTTTGCAGCTACAAGGGAGACCTTGAGTGAACAGGACATGCTATGTACACCCTGGCTAACAATCAACATATGCTTTGTTTTTCTGATGCCAACACGAGGCACATATAGCCTGGAGAAAGATGGATCCTGGGACTGGTTGGAACGCGATGCCTACTGGCTATTTTCCTTTTTAAAAAAAAGGCTGTTTCTAATTTGTTTACGCTTTCATAGACAGCAATTACATGGCTGTGAGAGAGACAAGATATTTCATTTGATCTAGAATTTAAGCTTACTGACAATTAATAATTAAAAACCTGTGTTTAATTACATCTTTTCTTCCTTGTGCCAAACAGACTGTGATCTAGACATTGTTGTTGCTGCTGGGATTTTAATAATACCTAATTCAAGGGTTTATGTTAGTGATTACTGTTAATGAACATAAAGAGTGCATTTGTCTCCATACATGTGTTACATTTAGTGAGACATTCTGAGACATCTTCCATCACTGCAGACCAAATATCTGTTAAATAAAAAAAGTTAAATGATTAAACTTGTATTCCTCCCACTTTTTTTTCATGTAAAGCAATAAAAAAAACAAGTTTTGCAATCACACAAAGCAGATAACAGGAGATATTTAGATTTCTACAATTTGCAGTCAGATTGCCGCTACAGGCGCCTCCAGCTGTGATAAGTGCAATAATCTTTTAACATTGCAGTGATTCATACACTTTCATGGTGCACAGTGAAGTGCTCACTACACACTGTTCAGCGCTATGAGCATCATAATAAACATTGGCTACCACCTGCTTGTCTTTCGTGAGCGTGGAAGACTAACTAGAACCAACGCTTTGCAGGAAAAATACGACATTGTAGGGTTGGTGTATGTGCTGTGGATCCCATGTTACCACAAAGTCACACTCTTTTATTCCACATGTCTGCAGCTTCCTTCTCTATGACAGTGTTGCAGCACTAAAAAAAGGACTTCATTTTATGATAGCGTTGAACTCTGGTTTGACTGATGATAGTTGGGTCAGATAGGCTTTGAGCGAGTGAAAGAGGAGTTCTGGGATGATGACAGGCAGCATGATGAGTTAAGACGCTGCCCTGGCCCAGCAATGAGTGGGAAATCAGAACATCTCCTCTCCCCCTCTCAGTAATGAGCCACACCTGTACACTGCTTTAAATACCAGAGAGAAGCTTTAAATGTCAGGTGCAATTAAAGCTTATGATTCAAGGCTGCACAAATCAAATCAAGGCCCCTGAGTTCACCCAAGTCTGAGAGAGCAAAGGCGAGATGGTGCAGAGACGCCATGGAC